AACAAAATATTTTTTGACATTGTCGACAATGATGCTATTGAAAAATAGATTTTCTAATGCAATAAAATACATGAAAAATAACATACTCTTCTTACAGTCCATCCAAATACAGTATTACATTTCGTACAATTAAGAACATCTTCATCTGGTACCCATTTTCTTGATTGTTCTTCTTCAAGTTTTATTTCATATGAATGTATAGAGTTAAATAATTCCGCTTTTTCACTAAATAAATAAGAAAATAAATATGATTCATAAATGATAATAAACGAAATGATTTATACCGGATAGCTTTCACTAAACGACGTTTCATTTCTTCAAAATCAAGTGTTACTTCATTTAGTGAAGCTTCTAACTTTTCTTGAATCTTATTTTGTTTGATCTCAAAGAAAATAAATTTTATTTTTGCTGAAAAAATATTTCAGATTTACTCGTTCATTTTCCATTGATATTCGTTCATTTTCAAGTAATTTTGTTGACTTAAAATAAAAATTAGATTAAAAAAATAATTTTTTTTTTCGTTCTATTACTTGTTCAAGTTCAATTTTTAATAATTCAATTTGTTTATTTACTTCATTTGAATAAGATAAATGTTGTTCTTGCTAGAAATAATGAAATAAGTTGAAAATATTATAAATAAAAACCATAACATACAATTAATTGTAAATGCTTTGTTTGTTCATCATATTTTTGTTGTAATTCATTAAATAGACTATCTTTGTGCTCGATCAATGATTCATGTTTGACTATATCATTTTCATAATTTTTTATTTTCTAAAAATATGAGAAAACATCATTATTAAAGATTTTTATTCCAAAAAAATCGTGCATACTACTAAAAGTAAATTTTCCATGCATTGAGAATAATAATGGAAAGATGTGTATTGTAAAATAATATGATTAGACCTCGGTGTCGAAATTACATCAGTTAAATAGTCAAGTATTTTTTCTCTTACATAGTGACAAGTTTATTCGTCATATGTTAAGTACTGAACAAAAATATACTACTTTATAGATTTATACATAAGTTTCAAGAAAAAAAAACGCATCACAGAGATATTTTTGTTATCGATGAGTACTTATAATATCCGATATTTAATTGTAAGTTCATAAAATTTTTACTTTCTTTGAACTGAAACAACAACTTTCAACTTATTCGTGACTGACACTTAATGATTATGACGAGAAAGATAGAGCACATGAAAAATGATAGAATATTGCCAATTTACACTCGTTGAACAGTTTTTTTGCTTACATCTGTTGTTGTTGAACGTTCAATTGACATAGAAGAAAGTTGAAGATTGAGATTAGTTATTTCTTCTTTTAATAAATTAATTTGAGTTTGTAATTGTTCATTCTCATTATTTAATTTATTTAATACTTCATTATCAATTGATTCCTTAGCATTATCTATTTGATTATCTTCATTCATAGAACATTGAATTTCAACATCAATGGATGATAATGAATTTGTTGAATGTATTTCTTGTAATTGCATTTCTAATTCCTGGCATTTTTGTTTCCAATAAATTAGTGTATTTTCAGGATCTTCGTCAACAGATGAAAGTGATTGAACTGAACTACCATCATTAATTGATGATTCAAGATTCTGAAAATACGCAATTTCATGTAAGAATTGAAAATTCGATAGAAAGTGCTTTCATTCTCGAAGTGTTGTAAGTGATCACTAGAGGAAGAACAAAACTCATGGTGACCTACCACAGACGACCTGCTATCAGATAGTCTCTTTCTAAATCCTATTCACCTCTCAACGACATTGTCTCCTTATTTTGTTGATGTCATCTTTTGTTAGAGAGAGGTAAATTATGTTTCAAAAACTCGTCTGTCGTCCAAAGCTGGCATAAAGTTTTAATAAAATAGGCACAAAGTATTAAGCAATTTTTTTTCGTAATACTCGAAATAATGTTGGTATAATTGGAATCGAATTTGAAGTATCTGGAACAACTGCAATAATTGATTGGGAATCAATGCTATTCTAAAAGAAAATAGATTTATTAGAAAAACAATTTAAATTGTATTTCTATACCATTGATAAAAAACTTGATACACTATTATTTCGCATTCTTGATGCGGCATCAGATAATGTTTTTGGACGATTTTCAACTGATCTACGAGCAACACAATTAAACAATAAATTATTTCTTTTTATTTAATATAAAAAAAAAACAAACTCTATTGTTGGCCAACAAACATCAAGTTGATATTGTGAATTTGAAAGAAGATCGTATCGAAGATCATTCAATTGATATAAGGCTTGAATAATACGATTCATATATTTTGGTGTTGTCCAAAAACATTCATCAATATAAAATTGACTTAAATTTCAAACGAACATTTTTTAAAATTTACTTATTAAATTAATCTTACTTAACAATTTTTGTCATCATAAAACTTTGTTGTATAACATCACCTAAACGATGATTTTGTAAACAAAAACGAAGAAATAAACGTCCACGACCAGTAGCAGTTTTTACTTCTTGACTATTAAGAACATATAATACAGTATCATATAAAGCTTTACTTTCTTTAAGTGCAACTGAAAAAAAATTCCAATAACTTCGTTTATTACTAATATTATTCAATAATGATTTTCGATCTTCAAAAATAACAAAAGGAATATTCATTAATATAAAAATATCGAATTCTTTTTTTATTTTGTTTTACTTTTTAAATCAATTTGTAATAATTGTTCAAAATGTTGAAAAAATATTTGTAAATGAATATTTGTATCATCAATAATCATTGGCTGTAGATTATCGTTTTCATTTATTGATGTTGTACATTGAGAATATAATGCATTCGTTTTCTCTATAATGATAAGGTTCATCTTATTCGTTTTTTTTTTTTGTTTTTTCATGTATGTATATATGTTAAAATTTACCTTCAATGATTTCAATTGATCGTAATACAGATGAAAGTTTATGAATATCTTGTGTAGACATCTTCAATAAAATATTTAGATAAATGACATGATGAGCTATATAGGGACTTTGAAATCTAACCTCACCTGCTTGCTTTCTTTTTTAAATAGAACAAATTAAAGCATATCTATTGGTTGATAATTGTCATTTGGTTTAGCATCTTGAGTTTTTGATTGGTAATAGTTTTTCTTCTAGGACAACATATGAGGTCGCTACTATGGTGAATATTGCAAAGAAGAATGGAACTAGATTACTTATGGCATAGTACCTCATCAGCACGTAATGCTGTGTGTGCAAATATATCTCTCCTGTATTTAAAATAAAACAGTATCCCTCTATATCTCAGCATAACATCGATAAATACAATAATAAAACATTTCATAATGTACGACAGAGACATCTATTATTCATGTTTTTTTTAAGTGGTAAATAGCAATAAGAGTCTTTCACTGGTACAGTTAACTAACAAATCTCGTATTTATTACACAAGAACAACACGGAGTACATTTTATTGTTTTCTTTCGTCTGTACGAAGTACATGGCATCGAACGATGATGATTCTTCATCTAATTTTTTTACGATTGATCTTGATCGAAATGATTCCGAACGTGATTTATATGCCATATTACATATTAATAAAGATGTACGACAAGTTTGGACTATCTTGTTTTTCTTTTGTATTGTATAATATAATATCTTTTAGGCAGATACAGCAACAATTCAACAAGCTTATCGTCGACTAACACTTCTTTATCATCCTGATAAACATAGAGATTCACGTAATAAACAATTAGCTATGGATTTATTTATTCAAATAAAATATGCTTATGATATTTTGAATGATCCACAAAAACGTGCCATATATGATGTTGTTGGAATGAAAGGCTTAAAAGCTGATGGATGGGAAGTAAGATACGAAACAATATTATAATAGATTATTTTAAATTTAATTATTCATAGATAATGACTCGAGCAAGAACAGCTCGTGAAATTCTTGATGAATATGAACGTCTTGCAAAAGAACGTGAAGAAAAACGTTTTCATCAAATAACAAATCCAAATGTTCGTTCAAAAGCTAAAATATTTTTTCTTAATATTTATTTAATTTATAGGCATCTATACATGCGACAATAGATCTAACTGATGTATTTAATCAAATAAATTCAATCGATGATAATAAGTAATTTTATTCATTAGATTTTATACTTAATCTCATATTTATTTTCTATTAGTGATATTTTACCAAAAATTGAAACAACAGAATTTAGTGTTGAACAAAGTATTGATATTCCATTAACAAGTCAAGATACAGCAACAATAAATGCTATGGTAACAACACGTAATGGTCGTGGTGTAGGATCATTAACAACTTCATTTCGACGTATTCTTCCAAATTTATCTTGGTTTCGTGTAAGAAAATTTATAAATTATTTTTCTTTTTGAAAAATATATTTTTTTTCTTAAGGTTGATTTAACATTTGGTCATCGTCCTCATATAGGATTTCATTATTTTCGTCGTATAACACAAAAACTGTAGGTAAATAAAATTTCTAATTTTCTTAAATTTAATATAATTTTCTCGTTAGTTTAGTCAAGCAAATGTTCATACAACATTTAGTTTTATTTCGAGTCGTAGAACTATAGTTACACCTGGTTTTATTTTTTCCATAAATTATCAATTGGCACATAATCTAACTAGTAGTTTACAGTGGAAAACAGGTAGAAATTCATTTATGAAAGGAATTTTACAATATGATAAACAAAAATGGATGGTTTCAAGTGCAATTCAGGTTTGTTCTTCTATTTATATTAAGTTATATAAATGGAATAAATTTTTTCAGCTTGGATTTATTAATACATTTGGAGCAATTGATGGTGTTTATCGATTTCCTAATGTATGTAATCTACGATTTAGTCTCAAGTAAGACTTATAAAAAAAAAACGAATGAAATTTACGACAATAAATGTATGTATCAAATTTTTTTTAAGATTATTTGTATTTGGACCATGGCTTGAATATGGTATTGATCGTCAATTTACTAAACATACATATGGTTCAGCAACAGTTGCAGTTAGTGCAAGAATGGGCGTATTATTAAGATTAAAGTATGTTTTTTTTGTCAGATTCAATCGAAGTTACGTAGATAAATATAACTAAAAATATGATTTTAGATTTATTCGTGGTAGTCAAACATTCACCATTCCACTACCATTGTCTCAAGATGTCTTGCCCAGTGCTATATTTTATGCTACAGTAATACCTACTCTTGCATATCTTCTACTTGATCGATTGATTATTCAACCATTTGCTCGATTAGAACAAGAAAGGTAATATTAGTATTTGTGTTTTTTTTTTGCTTTTACTATAGCACTATGGTATTCTTTTTCTTACCTATAGAGAACAGAAAAAACGTGAAGATGAAGCACGTGAAAAACAAAGTGAACGTCGACGTGAAGCAATGAATGCTCAAGAAGTTCTTCGATCACTTATTGAACAAATAAAAGATAAAGAAGGTTCACAAGGTTTAATTATTCTCGAAGCATATTATGGTCAATTAACATCAATAATTAATGAATCTTCATTAAAAATAATTGATGTTAGTATACCATTACAAACATTAGTGAAAGATTCAACATTAAAAATTGAAACAACAGTATCAAAATCAAATTTAACTGGTTTCTATGATCCATGTATAGGTGAAGAAAAATCATTATACATTAAATATTCATTTCATTCACATATACATACAGTTACATATAAAGATACAGATCCTGTTATATTACCAAATCGAAGTAAAAAAAACGTTTTTTCTTTTGTTTATTTATAATATAATCGAGTTTTGTTTTTATTATAGATCATTTGATATTGTGAAATTTTTTTATCTGTCGAATGTGTTTCTTAACCGGTAGGTCATAATTAATGGCAGCATTAAATACGTTTTATTAAAAAAAAATATCTTAAAATGCAATGTGAAAAGCTTTACAATACATTTTATAAACAATCACAGATAGTCACCAATAAAGTTAAATGAGATTTTTTATTTTGATATCATCGCACAATCTCTGACAAGGTTTTGTATAATTTAGGATTGACTTTTGAACTTTTCAGCATCTTATGATATATTTTGTTTTTTAATAAAACGTATTAGATGATGGAAAAAAAATAATAATAAAACGCAGCCATTCATTATAGTCAATCCGTTATTTTATATAGGTTGATTTAGGATTTTTATATGTCCTATTTGTATTATTGTCTGTCTTGGTTTTTCTTTTTTAATATTTCATACAGAATGTTTTTATCCAATCCAAATGATATCGTTTGTTTTTTCTTTTGTAGATGTTTCTTCGTTCTATTCTTTCTGTTAATCGTTATTCTCTCATATCAATTCTTCGAGCTCATACAACAACATCAAATACAACACATTTTGGTTATGATGAAGTACCTGAAGATGAAAAACAAACACGTGTTAATCAGGTTTTTTCATCTGTTGCTGATAAATATGATCTTATGAATGATGTTATGAGTTTTGGTATACATCGTATATGGAAAAATTATTTTATTCAAGTTGTTCGTCCTAATCCACAATGGAATTATATTGATGTAGCTGGTGGTACAGGTGATATAGCATTTCGTTATTTAAAACAACTTGATCGTTATTATCCATCATCATCGATACCATCATCTGAACATCCAATTACTTCAACACATACACATAAGGTCGAATCAGTTGAACAAACACGTATTTATCCAACATCAAAATGTGTTGTTGCAGATATAAATCCAAATATGCTTGCTGCTGGTAAACAACGTGCACTTGATAATAATTATCATGATCGTATACAATGGGTTGAAGCTAATGCTGAAGAATTACCATTTCATGATGAACAATTTGATATGTATACAATAGCATTTGGTATAAGAAATTGTACACACATTGATCGTGTTGTATCTGAAGCATATAGAGTATTAAAAAAAGGTGGCAGATTTCTTTGTTTAGAATTTAGTCAAGTTAATAGTACATTATTACGTTATGTATATGATCAATATTCAAAAACATTTATACCACCAATGGGACAAATAATAGCAAATGATTGGAAATCTTATCAATATTTAATTGAATCTATACGTGTTTTTCCTAAACAAAATGACTTTGCTGAACTTATACGTTCATGTAAATTTCGTTATGTTAATTATGAAAATTTATCATTTGGTATTGCAGCTATTCATTCAGGATATAAACTTTAGAAAGTTTGTTTTCTACATTTTAGATTAACATTTTTAGAAAAAAAAGCCTACAGAGAATAATCAATGGCAGGTGCAAATGGTCGACGATTTTTTGTTGGTGGAAATTGGAAAATGAATTATTCAAAGACTATTTTAGAAAAAGTTAATAGTGCATTGAATAATACAAAAGATGTTGATGGTAATTATAAACTTTATATAAAATATTCAAGATAAAAGACTTTGTTTTTGTTTTTAGTTGATATCGTATGTGCACCACCGGCTCTTTTTATAAAAGATTTTATTGCATCAAAACCAGGACATGTTCAAGTAGCTGCACAAAATTGTTATCATGCTAAGGAAGGTGCATTTACTGGTGAAATAAGGTGAGAAAAAAAAATATTCATCTTTTTCGAGTTTTCAAAAGTATGTTTGTTTGTTTTTTCGTTAGTCCGGAAATGTTGAAAGAAGCTGGTTGTCATTGGGTTATTCTTGGTCATTCAGAACGACGAACTTTATTTCATGAAGATGATGAAGTAAAGGAAATTATTAATAAAATTTTGTTCATAATTCTATTTCAATGATTTTTCTTTCTGAAGTTTTTGAAAAAGAAAATTGATTATGTTCTCAATAAAACTGATGTTAATGTTATTGCTTGTATTGGTGAAACATTACAAGAACGTGAAGCTGGCAAAACAAATGAAGTCGTCGAACGACAAGTTAAAGCTTATCAAGGTATGATTACGCTATGTTACACGACATTGCTAATGACAGATTAGAATTTCGACTGAGACCTCCAACTCATAGCAGTATTGCAACCTATAACTAAAATTGATGGAATATTTCGTCGTATTTATGTATTCTCTCACGCCATGACAATAAAACAAACTTCATGAGATTAGTAACAGCATCCATACCGTGTTTCACATTTTAATTACGCACGAATTACGCTAAAAGTCTTTTTAATTGATGTTTTGTTTTGTTTTGGTATAGAGAAAATTGCCAACGATCAATATAATCGTGTTGTAATAGCTTATGAACCTGTTTGGGCTATTGGTACCGGTAAAGTTGCAACACCTCAACAGGCTCAAGAAGTTCATGAACATTTACGAAAATTTATTGAACAAAATGCAAATGCTGACATTGCGAAAAACATTCGTATTATCTATGGCGGTAAGAGCTCTTTTGTATAATTAATCGAATCGATTTCTATATTCAACTAATCAATAGGTTCGGTTAGTGGATCAAACTGTAAAGAATTAGCTCAAAAACCTGATATTGATGGTTTTCTTGTTGGAGGTTTGTCATCTATCACTACAACTTTAAATCATAGTCATACAAATCTCGATTATTATTTGTTTTCTAGGCGCTTCACTCAAACCTGAATTCGAACAGATTTGCAAATCACGTCAAAATTAGAAAAAAAAATGACATTATTTTTTCTTAGTTCACTTTTCCCTAGCCTAGATGACATCTATATGGTCACACCACTAGTTCTTTTTATCAACATAAATTCTTCGCTTAGCTAGTCATTCTTCTAATTAAATTAATCTGACGCATCTAGAAAAGATGGTTTCTTTTTCATTTCTCTTGAAGATCTATTTCATCATGGCAACATCAGATGAATTTAAAGAAAAACGTTCAACTAATAAACGAAAACGTGAAACGAACGAAGAAGTAAATGTTCATATGGATACAGAACAAAATTCATCAGCACAATTTCCACAAATAAATCCAGCTCAATTAAAAGTAATTTTTTATTTTATCAAAACAAAACATAAAGTCATATATTTTTAATCAAATTTTAAGGATGAAACTGATGGCTTTCGTAAAGTACCCATACCTGCACATCGTTATACACCATTAAAAGAACAATGGATGAAAATTTATTCACCTATTGTTGAATATCTTCATTTACAAATACGTTTTAATTTAAAAACACGTTGTGTTGAAATCAAAACATCTGATCAAACTGAAGATATTCAAGCATTACAAAAAGCTGGTAAGAAAAAAAAGCGAAAATGAAAAATATTTTCATTCTTTCTTTTTAAGCTGATTTTGTTAAAGCATTTGGACTTGGCTTTGATGTTGATGATGCACTTGCATTAATTCGTCTTGATGATCTCTTTCTAGAATCATTTGAAATTAATGATGGTAAAAATAAAAATAGATAGTTTTATTTCATTGGTTTTATACTATTTTTTTTCTTATAGTTAAACCATTGAAAGGTGATCATTTATCGAGAGCTATTGGTCGTATTGCAGGTAAAAATGGTCGAACAAAATTTGCAATCGAAAATGCAACACGATGTCGAATTGTACTTGCTGATGAGTATGTTTACCGAAATAGACTAATGATTATTGAAATAATTCTATTCTTATTTAGTAAAATTCATATTCTGGGTTCATATCAAAATATTCAAAATGCACGAACATCAATTTGTAATCTGATCTTAGGCTCACCACCATCAAAAGTCTATGGAAAATTGCGAACTGTAGCTGCGAGAACAGCGGAAAGTTTTTGAAAAGAATTCATTTCAGTTGTTTTTTGTTATTTGCTACCGTTTTGCATATAAAAAGAAATGGACAACGATATACGGAAAAATAGATCATTTGGTATACCGATGGTTGGGTGTGGGTGCAAGAGCCACACCCACACCCTGTGTATGAGTGGAAAGAGTGCGTACATTCACATTGCTGTATCCTTGATAAGACTTTGTTCTTTAGTTTCTCATCGACTATTTATAATATAAAACTTGTCTCGAGTGACAATTATGATAGTAAGAAGAAATTTTGTTTCCTGACAGATCAAACAGAACAGAATGAGGCAGTGCATATCTCTTTTAACAGATGCATAATACGAAGGCTTTTTCTAATTTGAAAAGAGAAGAATAATAAATGTGTTTAGCAGTATTTTAAATAATATCTCTATTAAAATATTCCACTTTTCTTTGGATTTAACTGATAAATAATGTACAACCAGAACATAGCCGATACAACATCACAACTACAATAATAAGAATTAACATAAAGTACGAACAATACAAATAAATGAAATTCAACTTTTTATCGTCTAGCTGAACGAAGCAAATAACTTCTATTATCTTATTTTTTCATTATTAGCATGTATGCATACAGGATGAGTGGTGAAACGAGTGTATTTTAGAAAAAAACGAAATAATTCGACTTCTTGCTAAGAAATTTCTTTCAGCGAAGAGCAAATTTTACAAACTGATTTTTGTCTTTGTCAACCTTCTTAGAGTCACCATTAATGTCTAAGCGTTATTTATCGAATCATGAGTGCAACAAAAAGTTCACTCTTCTATTACATAGCAGCAGTTCAAGACAAGCGTTTTAAGTGAACCTCCCTTTCCGATCCGAAATTTTTAGTTTTCTCTTTTTTTATTTTTTATCTTTAGTATACAGATCTAAATATCCTCTAATTAATAGACACATTTCAAGCAGGCAAAACTATCTTTTTTGTATGTAAAGAAGCTTGAAAAAAACTGAATTTTATACTAAAAAATCCAAGCATTTCAGTTTTCCCCTCTTTTCTCCTAGACGGTACGGCCAATTGAGCTGAAACATTTTAAAATAAGTTTTGCTTCTCCTGAGCCTTAGGAAAAATATTCTTCAAAGAAAAGCGTACACAAACACCCAGATTTGTTTTTAGATACTAGAGAAAAAATTTTCAGTCCTAAAGACATACTGTGGCTGTTTGCTGAGGGATAATTTCAGGTCATTTTTGGCCCTTGACCTCCCAAAATCTCCCAGAAGGAAGCGTTTGGAAATTTGGAGTCTATGGCTGCTTTTATTCTACTCACGAAGATCTATCTATCCTGAATGTGTCAAGCATTTTCGCCTCGTCGTTCTGGAGAAACTTCCAAAAGGGAGGCCTCCTTACGGACGCGGTGTAAGTTAGCTTATTTTACTCTCTTAGAAGTCATAAAACTAAATGAAAGTTTTTAGATACTCACAAAATTAATTGATACAACACAAGACAAAGACAAATTGCCGGTATATTTAAAAAATCAAATAAAGGTCTCACATTTGAATCGGGAAATTATGAAAGAAAGTCATAATACCACTTGTCAAATATATATATATATTTAAAAAATTAAACTTATTTTTAGCGATCATGAATGATTGTCAAAAATCACGAAGTATTGGTCACAATATTGATGAGGATAAGGATACGATTGTATACGAATAGTACGTCAATAGTCTGTCTTATTCATTAATTCATCTTCTATTTCTTTTCAATGAAACTGAATATCGTCTGATCACGGAACGAACAGTCGAGAAGTTGAAGCCTTCCTCTATAAAATGTAGGTAAAAATAAAATGATAGCTAGTGTTACCCTTAGTTAGTGTTTCTCAATGAAAGAAAAGCTTCTTTAAGTGTTTTATGCTTATTTTTTTTAGTTAAATGGGACAATATATAGCTGAGCAAACAGAATTGAAACTATTAATTTGAACAAAATTTTTTGAAGAGTATTTAAGATTTGTTAAATAATGGTTTTATTGCGGTATCTAGGGGTGTGGATGTGGGTGGCTGTGAATGTACTGTTTTCTTGACATAAACAAACACACCCTTATAGATGCATTCAATTTGTTTACAAATAAAATAAAACAAATGATCAGCTTGTCTAGAAAAAAATCGAGCGATAAATATATTAAACAAAACAAAACAAAAATAAAACTTTGCTCCACGACATTCTCGTTTAGTCCTAAAACCATGTCTGTATAATTTTAATGTTGGATGTTTATTAACATAAACTTTAACTGCAATTGCATTTTCACCATCACAATCAACTTTACCAATAGCAACAAGACCATGCTGCTGAAATAAATTATTTTATTCAAAAGTAAAAAGATGATTTTTGATACATATTAAAAATTCTTGAGTAATTTTATCAACGAATTCATGATGAATTGAATCAAACAATTGATCTAATCAGTTCCAATTTGCATAAAACTTCCTAAAAATCTATTTCATAAAATGCTAAAAAATTACATTTAAAAACTGAGACATAATACTTAGGGTAGTCCAGAAGTAGTGAAAATAATACTTTAGTTCCTTATAAAAACCTTAAAGAAACTTTCTCTGTATAGTCTCAGAGAGAAAAAAATGTTCTATTTTTCTATGCTATTTGATCGTACTTCAACTAATGTCATAATAATAAAATTTTGATAATAACGGGTGTCCCAGGAAAAATGAACCTCTCAGTATTTTTAAGATTTCTCTTCTACTCTCCCTGTATTTAAAACTCTTTTTATTCTCAAAAGATAGCGATTGAAATTTTCTACAAAATCATNCGCTGGATATCATGCATGATCTCTCAAAATGCTAAGATATTTATAAAACTCCCACCGCATATGTATGTAATATCCAAACATTTTATTAGAAAGTCGTGGCCTTCTAATATGACTTTTGCAGATATGACTCAGGGTGGCCTTCTAATGGGGGTGGCCTTCTAATATGGGGTGGCCTTCTATTCTGGGGGGGAGTTTACCAGATCTTTGTTATTGATAACTATTTCTTGTATATAATAAGCCATAGAAATATCGTACAAAATATGCCGGAACTAATTTCTCAACATTCAAATATTGTTTTGACCTGATTTTTTTGTTTTGTTCGAAAGAATAAATTTTGAAGAATGAAACAGATGAACATAGTTAAAAATTTTACTTTTGACTTATTACAATGAAATTTGAATACCAGAAGTTTGGACTCAATTGTTTTGATTCTGTAATCCGACTCCGAAAACTTTTATCTTCTGCCTTCAAGAAACTGAAATTTTCATTAATGTCATCTGAAAACTAAATATTCTGAACAGGGAAGGTCTCATTTAGCATCCTACAAATGGATACTTGTTAAACTAACAAGTCCTATTTCTTGAAACAAACAAGTTTATAGGTGTATCATCTTGAAGTTCGTCTTTTTCAATGAGAATACCTTTTTGAATGTAAAAAATTGACATCTTTATTTTTCCAAATATGTTTTTTGTGTGCCAACTTTTCTGCTTGTGCTGTTTTTTGTCTAAACACAACCAAGAATGGATAATGTAAACAGTTGTCGTACTTTGAATGGCATTAATACTTATTTTGAGATCGTAATCGAAATTTTGAAAACATTCCATGAACGGGATTGAATTTCCTTTTTTTCATGAATGTAAATTGAGAAAAGTGTTTCTCGCAGGATACTAATAGGAGTGTAATGTTAGGAAATGAAATAATTAACAACGGAGAAGTTGTTTCTTATTAAGTAAATACACAAAAAAATATGAGACATCAGCTGTTGTAATTACTTTACAATAGCAAGCAATTAGAATTGCGATAAAGACTACCTTTCGTTACTTGTGATAATACATAAGAGTTTTGTGAAAGACCACCTGAAAGGATTGTTGAAGCATATAGGGTTGAAATTTCAACAGATCGTGATAGACGTTGTTGATGTACGAATAAAGACAGTATATCAATAAGATCTCATTACGAACTGCTTCCTTTTTGTAGTCTAGAAGATTCATTCAAGGATTGAGAAAGAAATGTGTCGTAAAACAGATCCAATAAAACGATTATCTTTTGATTAGCAACAAACAACCACAGAGTTTTTCACTTTTTAATCCTGCAAAAGCTACGCGATGTGCTCTTGTTTTTTTCCCGATTATTGATTAGTTGAAAACTAGATATTTTTTAAGTGGCGGTATCCTCTGAACTCTAAACCAAGTCATTAAAATTAATGAAATTCTCATTTATATTTAGACGAGTCTTTTCTTGTTCGTATTTTTAAAAATCAAATTTCGACACTTGTTATCAGATTTGCTAAGAATAAAACAATACTAATGAATGATACAGAAACGAATATCTTCAGAAATATTTTAATTATTTTCACTAATCTACATCATTTACGTTTTGATGCATCTTTGAATTTGAACATTGAACCGATGTTTAATTGGCAATTGAGTCAAACTTGTTCATCTTCAATTCTTAAAGAATTACATATTACTGTAAAATATTTTCATGATTGTCTTTATTTACTCGATGGTTGCTTCAATCAACTTGAAAAATTTTTCGTTAATATTGATCTTATCTGTAATCAATCGTCAACGATCAATGATCAGGTATATTCATTTTATAAAAATAAAATTAATAGCCTTTAAAGAAGTTAACATTCATTTTAAGTTCTTTGATGTTTCAGGGAAAACTCCCTAATATGAAATGTTTTTCGCTGACTTGTTATGATGAAACATTCAACTATTATGATTTGATCGTGCCACTTTTGCATCGAATGTCAAATTTAGAAAGTCTTGCTTTGTATTTAATGGTAATCAATCGTCATATCAAAGAAAGATTTATTGATGGAAATGATTCGAAAGAAAATATTATTAATCATTTACCACGATTAGAAAAATTTGCATTTAATATTCATTCAAGAACTATTTTTTTCAACCAAATTTATTTACCCTCAAATGAAGACATTAAAAATACATTCGCAAGTTTCAAAGATAATCAAATTATCTCTTGCGTTGATTATTCTCAAAACAAAAAAACTGGTCAATGTCATATTTATTCGCTGCCATATACAACAAAATATTATAAAAATATAACTAATAATTTTCCAGGTGGACTATTTAAATGTGTTCGTGAAATATCATTATGTGATGAACATCCCTTTGAACATGATTTTTTTATTCGAATTGCTCAAGCATTTCCATATCTTAAGAAACTACATTTAACGAATAGACAATCACAACAATACAAACAATATCAATCTTCAAAAGATACGAAGAGTAAAGAATATTCGATTATTAAATATTCTCATCTTACTGAATTAGATCTTTCACTTGTTCATGATGATTATATTGAACAATTTCTTGATGGTACTAAAACATATTTGTCAAAAAATATTAAGCTTTCTGTCGCATATAAGTCTCTACGATCAATAACACACAATTTCACAAGAGAAACAACACGAATCAATTGTGCTAAAATAAATAATATATATTTTTATAATGGAGTTTTGGAAATTCCCGAACAATTCCGAATGTATTTTCCTCTTATGAAACATCGATCAATGTTATCTTATTTTAAAATAAACTAGTTAAATGAAAAAGGAATCAATATATGTTTTACACAGAAAAAAAATAAAATAAAATAAAGAATGAACAAATAACTGTACGCAAGGCTTATTTCATATTTTGATTAAACGAAACAAATTCTTTTTATCGCAGACGATAAACTTCTACATTGAAAATAAAATCTGTAGAGCTACTAAAGAAAAGACAGCTGACAAGAAAAAGTGCAGCATGCAGCTATCAATGTAATTCATTTTTCGAAAGAAGAAAACATCTCTTTAAGACTTATGTTCAATTTGAAATTTGGATCATCTTTTAAAACAATATTGTGTACGAAATGTAAACAATACTTGAGTCCGATTTATATATATATATATCTTGAAAAACGAGAAAACATGTTGATGATACATTTGTTTTTCAAGTAATTCAAATATAAGAAACATGGCTATCATTAATACTATTGAATATTGTTGAAATTGAGAAAGAAAATTTTTTAACATAACTTCGGGTAATAATAATCGGCCGAATTTGTGGCCTACGTAAGCCTACGAAAACAATTGGTTATTTTTTTTTCGTTCTGCAGATGATTCATACGAACAGGAAAACAAACGAATAATATTTTTTAGGCTCGCGTAGGCCGTAGGCCAAAAATTCGGCCGATTATTATTACCCCATAACTTCAACATTCTAGTTCAATCAACTTTTATTATAATATATAGTTAAACATTGAAAACTTTATTATTGATATAGACGATTTAAGTGATTTTGTTCTTGTATTGAAATATTTTTTTACTGGTAATCCTTAAGCACACTCCACTGCATAAGTGTATGTTCACATGTTTTTCTTCAATGCAGTGTCAGAGATTCAACGAATTTCATATTTAGTTTAAAACATGTTTTTACCAATTTATTGATGACAAACGAATGATACTACGATTGGTAAAGTCAGAAAGACGAACGAAAAAATTAGATATGTTAAATAACTATATGTATATCTGTTAAATGAGGTCATTTTAGAGGAACACATGTACTTACCATTCTATTTGTTTATTTATTCTTTTATTTAAACACTTTCATTCGACCTAATATTAACTTGTTTTTCTTTACCTTAAATGATTTTATATTGTTTTTAGATTAAAAAGAGATAATTAGCAAAACAATGTCTGGTCCTCATACGCATTCAGTTCGTATTTTAACGGACTTATGTTACACCAAACATGGCAGGTTACATTTTAAACGTCGATTTTTTTGGAAAATCTTTCGCTTATTGTTCTTTGTATTTCAGTCTGTTAGTAATCTGTAGTAATGACGGTTATATTCAAATATACGATACAAAAGGTAATAAAGTCGACCATATACATTGTTTTGATGAATGTCGTTTGATTGTTGCTCATGTGAGTTATTTTAAAACTTTTCTTATATGTAAATTTAATTTCTGACTATCAGGATGATTTTCTGTTTTTGGCAACAAATTGAGATGAGCTCGAAGTTCGCAAATTGCCAGCTGGTAACTTGTGTCCAAGCCTGTTATATTTTACTAAACCTGTATCTGCTATTTGTACGTGTGATGCATGGCTTTTTGTGGCTTCAAGGTATTAAAAACTCTGCCTTTTGTTTAATTTAATTTGTTAGTTGTCTTTGATTTGTTTTAGAGACTGTCTGTGCCGATATTGATGGCACGCCTCGATGATTCTCCTTCCTCCTCCTTCTGTTCTCTTTCCATTGTTCTAATATATATCTCTCCTGTCTCTCTCCTATCTCTCTCCTAGATATGCGTATGCTATGTATGAAGTTGTTACACTCTGGATATGTGAAGAAGCGAATAAACATCATTGCCGAGAGTGGCGGTAAGCTACTCCACCTCTATTCAGTTTGTCATGACGTATCAACCCAGTTAGAGCCGTATTGATCGTTACATGGCGACTCTGGCAGACCTCGATCATTACATCTTGACCCTGGCTGCTGAATCTTTGCAAATTCTGAACACAACTGATTTGTGTCAAAATCAACAACAAATCAACATCATGAACCATTATTCAACAATAGAATTCAACAACAACGGGCGGTAATAAATAATGAGAGAGAGAATGAGTGAGTGAGAGAATACTGGTTGAAAGACATGGCGCTGTAGATTGACTGTAGTATTGGTGCTGTTACAATACTAAGCAGATGACAGTGTCACAGGACATCAGTGAACGTACTAAAGGGCGGCTATTGTTGGGCGGGCAATGCGATCTTCCGCGCATTTTTCCTTTTAACATCGGTACGTTTCATGTTTCTTCTTCCCAAATCTCTTCATC